GGTATACAAACTGACCGATCAAACTCAAATTTTGTATGGAAAAATTTTTAATTGACAAGGTATCTTCACGATATTTACACACATAAATTATTATTTTAGGCATCGCTACAATCACCGAACAGATCGGGTCATTATAGCATATATGTGCCATATAAACTGACCTATCAAAATCAAGATAAATATCTTTTTATACCCTTATATGCACGCCCTAGTCGTCTCCGACTGAGGTTAAAATTTATAATGATTATGATTTCGTTGTATAAAGTTGAATCACTTGAAGACATAGAACAGCAAACATTATTTTTGTAAGGACCACCTTATTTTAAAGGCATACATGCAATCATACTTTTAGTATCAGTATGTTTTGCGGCGTTGTCGCATTTTAATGAAATTCAGCCAAATAAAAAGCCCTGATGTTTTGTTGTGTTGATGAAAAATCGGTGAATGTGTTTTTCAACGAGCTGTATAAATATTTATGTAGTTAGGTTTTATTTTTTTTTTGTCGAAAAAATAAATGCCGAAATAGAAAGCAAAACAAATAATGTTCCAATGTAAACATGCAATGAAGTTTGCCACGGCATGAAAGCTTGCTTTTATGCGACATACATCCAGTGCATATTATTTAAACTCTGACCCACGTGATAATGAAGAAATTTTTGTGAGAATGGGTTGACAAAAAAAAAATTTCACGTATTTTATTGTATTACAATTCCTTATTATCACCGTCAAAATAGACTCCTTTTGAACCAATACAAGCCTGCCAACACCTAATTGAGTTTTCCATACACTTGTCAAAAGCCTCGGCTGGGATGGCCTTCAGAGTGCCTTCAGCGAATTTTGTTTTTTTCGGTTTTGGCTCATTTTTGGAGCGACCACTTTTCGGTTTTGCAAAAGACTCATGTTTTTTGGTACTAGTCTAGCATTGACACGCTTCATACTCAAAACATTAACCGAAATGTGAGATTTTCTGCTATCTCTTATACATGATTCCATTGGAAACACAAAATTTCAAGCAAACTCGTTAAATTTCTTCATAATGAAAGTCGCCAGACAAACTTTTCACGTCGTAAAAAAAAGAGCTGTCAAACACACACTAATTGACATATTAAGATCAAACAAAAGATTCCAGCAATTTTCAATTTTCGGTTCGTGTTCAATCAATTCGGTTTATGTGTGCGGTTAAGAAGACCAGTCCAAGTCATAGTTGATCATCAAATGATGAATATTTTTTTCAAAGATTAAAATAGTCAAAATCTAAACAATATTATTTCATAATTGGCAAACCGACTTTCTATTCAATCAAAAGTTCAAAATTCTCAACATTCGGTTACAAAAAACAATGATATCAATATTTGAACTCATCATAGACTGTGAGAGAGATTGAAGACCGAGGCAATTTATGCTCGTTTAAAGCATTCTTTTATATGGGATTTCAATATTGGCTTCTAAAATCATCCATTACCATTGTTTCTAGTTTAGTTGCCATTTTGAAGGTAATTTTATAATGCCACTTTCATAGAAACCTTCGTCCCTATAAGCAAAAGAACTCGGATAGTTGATAGTCCTCCCAACCAAGCATTCGGAGTTTCTGACGAGTCACTATTAAAGAAGACCATATTCACTTTTTACTTTTGAATAGACATTAAATATTATTATTGCTTTAGCTTAGTCATGCTTGAGAATTGACATCCCTTAGAGATCAACATTAGTGAATAATTTTCAGCTTTCTAATGATAGAAGTGTACTTCTAGGAAGGTTAGGTGCCAGTTCTGATTAAATATCAATAAATTATGGAACAACTGAAATTCCAAGACTCCTTATCCTCAAATTTTCTGAGAAAACATTAGAAGGTACAACTCAGATGGAGCTACATTTACCATTTTGATTCAGAACATACAAGTTATGTGGATTAATCAAATAGAATATAACAACGAGAAGACCCCATTTTATACTCTAACCTAACATATATCAACCGGCGACACAATTGAGTAAATAAAGAAACCAAAGCAAAACAAAAAAAAACAAAAAACGGCATCTAGATTCCAGCGTTGTGTTAATTTCGTTTTATGGCTCAGTTGCGACATAACTGTTCTGCCGGTCGGTTGATTCCACTACTGTTAGCGAAAAATAAAAGAAAATGCAATAAATGTATTTAATATTAGTTATGCCACTCGTCGTAAAAAAGTAAGTGCGTGTGTCTTCCATTTCTATTTTTTGTGCTGTACTAGCCAATAATTCGCCGGTGAGTATCGAAAACAGCTGAAGATTGACACAACGCCATCAAGCAGTGACGACTCCGCGTCTAAACGTGCTCACCACTGCCACAACCGCGCTCAGCACAGCATAGCGAGTGCGAACAGCGATTGTTATGACAGCCACCCGCTTGACCCCAATCGCTTGGCATTCTCAGCCGCTTTTATACTCCCGCAGAATGTTAAACGTTGACATTGTCATTCTGTTCACACCAGTTTCCTTGCAGCTCAACGCAACTGAATTAAATTCAGGAAAAAAAAAACAGAAAAAAAAAACAAACGGCAAAAAAATACTAAATGAATGAAAAACCGTTATACATGTAGGTGCAAGTGTGTATGTGTATTGCCATGGTTATGATGGGCTGTATGTGTTTGTTGTTGTTATTACATTTGAGTTGAAGTTTATCGCTTGAGGCTACTCTTGTGGTCTATTATCGGTAATAAATGAAAAGTGCAAGTGTCCATTATTTATGCCATTCACTTGTGTTGAGGCTAAAGCTTCCCGTTAACTAAGTGTTCTTGTGGTTTTCTTTTTTTTAATGTGTGTTTGTGAAAAACGTCGTGCCTATTTGGACATCGCCTTATTTCTGAGAAGGATTGCTGACCTAATTCTAAACCTTTTCGTATTTTTTCTACTTAATGGCGGCAAGAAAAAGATAAACACAAGAGATTTAATGCTTTTATACAGATACCAAGTTTTCCCTTTTATCTATTTCTTTTAATAAGTAATTAAGACGGAAAATTTTTTAAACGTTCTACTTTGAAGAAAGTGCCTACGAAGGTCACATCTACGGGCCGCGAACAAATTTTACGATTTAGGTGTTAACCCTAGTAAAACGGAACTGATGCTTTTCACGGGTGAAACAAAAATACAGCGATTCAATCTACCCTCACTCAGTGGCACAACAATTCCTCTGCCCCCATGGCAAAATAGCTAGGGGTTGAAATCGATACCAAACTGAAATGGAATATTAACATTGCAAAACGAATAAATAAAGCGTATATAGCCTACTACACTAGCAAATGAATACTTAGTAGGAACGGGGGCCATAAATCAAAAATAATCATGTGAGTGTATACGTCCGTCATTAGACTAATTATAACTTATGGTGCACTGTTTTGGTGGCCAGCATTAAAGAAACAATATAGTTTCAGGAAACTGAATGAAATGCAAAGAGCAGCCGGTGAAGGGGTTACTGGGGCTATCAAGACATGTTGGACTGATGCGCTAAATATACTCCTACATCAGCTGCACATAGACTTGTATACTCTGAAAGTAGATTTCAATAGTCACTTTCGGGTGAGGATTTCCTTTAGACGTAAATGGAGAAGAGGTATAGTAGGGGAAGAGGATGCTACCGCTATCTACACCGACGGGTCCAAAATGGACTAGGGGCGGGGGTATACTCTGATGATCTCTAAGTCTCTATTTCTATCCGTCTACCAAACTCAGCCAGCAACTTCCAAGCGGTAGTACTATTTATAGAAAAGGCCTGTGAAGTTCTATTGAATAACTGTAGGAGGATACAGAAAGTAATCATATACACGGACAGCCAAGCGGCATTGCTTGCCTTGTCGACACCACAGATTAATTCTAACACAATCAACAACTGCGGGAAGGTTTTAAGCTCACTGGCAGGTCAATTTCACTTGTCCATAATTTGGGTTCCCGGTCACAGGAACATTTTCGGCAACGAAAAGACAGACCAGTTGCTTAACAGGTATAAGTAGTTTCATTGCAAAAGCACCAAATGGTTTGAGCGAAAGGATGAAAAGCAAGATTGTAAGGTCCTACGACAGTGCATCAAAATGGCGCATCCAGCGTTAATTGAGCCCATGGTGGCTGCACTCCTACCTACCAACCTACTTTGAGGAAATTAAGAATAAAAAGTGGAATATAAAATTGCTATATATTTCTTGCGTAATATAAAGTTTAGCAAAAAAAACATAAAAAATATAAATATTTTTGTTAAAGATTCTTACCATTATTTTCCTATTTGTGGCTACCTACTTCTTTTTATATTTTCGAAAAGAACTCTTGGCCATATTTCCTTCAAAAAGTGCCTTGGAAGCGAGCTGAAATGGAGAAAGCAATTCGGTCTACATCAGAGTCTTGTTTAGTGAGTGCATATTTCTCGCTCTCTCTCTCTGTGGTCTCAAGGCTTCGACTTAGGTGTGCTGATAAGCAGTAGGATAAAGATTATTTGTTAAGCAGTAAGATAAAGGGGGATAACCGATGAGCTTCTTAGCTAAGCAGATCCTTAGTATTGGTGTTTCCAATAACGATTTTCAAAAACTAATCTCCAATATTTTCTGTTTTGAGTTTTTCTTCAGCTATCGAGGTGTTTTGATGCCAAGAACCATTCGCTGGGAGTCAGTTAGTGAAGCTGTTAACAGCTTTTAGAGTGTAGTGTTCTGACAATGCTTCTTTGTCTGCGTTATGCAAAATTGCAGGCGACTATACCGGTGCTGCGTAGTTTATGTTAAAAGTTAGATAAGGAAGAACAGCGTTGGGAGAAGAATTTTTTTTTGAATAAAGTATCATACTTTTTTGTGTTACTACTCATTTTCAAACTTTTCGTCATTGACGGTTTGTTAATATAAGAAGTAAATACATTGTTGTTATTGTTGCCACGACGGTTAAATGCTAAACTCGTTTTTATTTGCACCATCAATTCTAAATACTTTTAATCAACAGTAATTTAACGGCTTCTTATATCTTTCATTCTTACCTTTTTATTGTTTCAGATAAATGAATGACTCTTATAACACCTTGAGGATAATACAAGCAACGGTGAATAGGTGAGGATCGAGTAATAGCTCACCATCAGCAATAAAAATAATAAATATAGCATAGTCAATGTCTTGCGCTCAACCAACGCAGTGAGTACAAGAAACGCTGGCAGCCAGCGTGGCATAAAGAAAGCGAAGTCTAAACAAAAAACAAAAGCAACAAGAACAACAAAAAACTCTAATATCATCTACGTGAAAAAGGTGTGTGTAGAATCCCGTTAGCAGTGCAAGTGCCAAAGTGTAAACCGGTTGTTGTTTGTGTTATTTGTGTGGGGGAGAGTGTGCGAAGAATTATTCAGCACACAGTAAGCACGCGAGGAAGTCGCTCCTCGTCGTCGTCGTCGCCAAAGTAACGTTACTGCTGTGGCCCAGCTAAGTGGTGAAAGAATATCCACTGGCACCTACATAAGCAACCGAGCAAGCACAAGCGCGTCTTGGCAGTTAGCAGTTGGTCCAAGTACCAGTCAGTACTCAGCTACACACATACATACATACTTACACACGTGCAAACACACGAGCGGCAGGGGCAGCGGGACAGTAATTTCCTTAGCCAGCTTTTTTACATTCTTACACACACACACACGCACGTACATACGTGCAGCGTCATCTTCGTTTGTGGCCGCAGTGCATGCAATTCTAACCACACATAGCTGTATATGTAAATGTGTGTGTGTTTGCGATTTTTGCTCATTGCTATGCGCCCGCGTTTGGCATACAAATGAAGAAATATGAGTGCGCGTTTTTAAACTGAAAACGTTGTTGAGCCGCACAGCAGTAACAGCAACAGTAACAACAACAACAACGTCAATAATAACAAAAGCAAAAAGCTGCGACAGTGTAAGACATGCACAGTGGGTGCTAAGAGTATACTAACAATAAGAAGTAGCAAAATTCCAACAACAACTTCAAGGAAAGTCAATTCAAGCACCATAAAGCCAGCCCAAACCAGCGCTACGTCACTCGCCCGCGCGCTCAAGTCATCAGTGACGTCGTTAACAGCATTGTCGCCGTTGTTGTTCTCATACTTATACTACATACAGTCGCTGTGTTATCCACGTCCTCTGTATCAGCCAGCTTCTATGTTTTCGTCTTCGTCCTCAACTTCGTGACCGTCGTCATCATCGTTATCCGGTTTGCACTCGCCACTGCGTCCGTTAGTATATATTACAGTTAGAGTGTAGTGTGTGCGCCGCAGGAGCTGAAGCGTTCCAATATTAGAGCTATAAGCAAACGTAGAAATCAAATCTCGTGTAGCTTTAAATGAAATATTAATATTTGTCATCATTCGTTTGGCGAGTTAAGTTGGCTGCGGAACGTTTTTCCGCCAAAGTCAACGCGCCGCAGTGGGTGACTCGCCAGAGTTGACTTGCAAGTCAAAAATATTTAGAAGCAAAAAGTCAAAAAAAATAAAGCAAGACAGCACGAAGGAGCACAAAACACACCATATTACAAGCATACCCACTCAGCGACAAGCATTTAAACGCACAACCTTAAAAGTAGAAAATAAAAACGCGAAAAAGCAAAATTTTCAAAGGCAAAAAGAGCCGACACTTCACAGCTTACGAGTAGTTGTCGTCATCGTCGTCGCAGTGGTTCAACAGTTCCACTATTTTTTGAGCTTTGCAGCAATTTCAGCGTCGCTGCACACTTCAAATTCATAACTTTGTAAATACACACACATACACACAAATATATGTACATAAATACATATTGTACATTAACTGGTGTATGTAGGTACATAAATAGATTTGTAACATATCCGTCGTTGGCGTAAGAAGTGCACGTTGCAGTGACAGTTACAGTTATAGTGTTTAAGTAGTGTGTAACATATATATAAGTAAGCAACAATAACAAAAACTATAGCAACAAACAACAACGTTCCTGTGCCTGTGTATGTGCTTCAACTTGTACGCTTAGCATATACATACATATAATTGCTTGTGTGCGTGTGTTGTTGCTGTTCATCCTCCCGCTTTCTCTCTCACAGCGCGTTCGTGTGTGTTTAAAGGATAATAATTTTCCTCAAAATGCGTCTGCAATATCGCAATAAGAAAGCGACGCTATGGCTGATGGTCACCATCGTTGTTGTCACCATGTTCCTCTTCAAATTCACCGAATTCGCGCCAACGTGTTTCTTCAAGAACGACGTTACGTCGCCGGATGGATCGCTGATGGTGCGCGAAGAGGTAAGTGGGGGAAAAGTTTTGAAAGTATTGTAGTTTAACGTTATTATTATGTCATATAAATATATTTACAGCGGCCGCACTCGTATGTTGTTAGGGCCCTAAAATATTTAATTTTAAATGGTGGTGGAGGACTTTTTAGGTGCTCAGTGGCCTTTATAAATAAAAGACAAGAAAAACCGTTAACTTCGGTTACATCGAAGCTATAACACCATTCACAAGTACAAAAGGTTCCTTAAAGACTTTGATTCCGATCGATCAGTTTGTATGGCTGCTAAATGCTATAATGATCCGATATCGGCGGTTCCGACTAATGCGCAGCTTCTTGAAGAGAAAAAGACGTGTTAAAATTTTCAGATCGATAGCTCATAAAAGGAGGAACTAAAACTAAATGTACTCATCTCGTCATGCTGATCACTTATATATATATTTTATAGGGTCTCCGACATTTCCTTCTAGGTGATACAAACTTTGTGGCAAACTTAATATACCCTGTTGAGGATATAACAATACCAAGCTTTGTTTTGTACCAATCTTTATTATAGTCTCCGAAACATACATATTTTAAAGTAATACAACAATAACTAAGATCAATTCAACTCTCTGATACTATTTATTGGTCTAAGGCTGCTAGATGACTGTTTATTCGTTAAGCAATTTTTCGTTTATCATCAAGCGAGTCATCTTGCGCCTTATATTTAAGTTGACAGTAATGGAAAATCTCTCAAAATTTGCGAAGAATATAGCTACGCAGATAGCTAATTTAATCACAATCACTTCAAAATGGCCCATTAATATTTCTTAAGAGAGTAATTTTGATCTTCGACAGATTTTGGTGAGTTCTTTATTTTGGGTTCATTTTTGTCGTGCCATTCATTGATTCTCCAGCAGCTTAGACGTCATATTAATTTTCTAAAATGTTTCTCCATACTAATATTAACCCGATTGAGTAAAACGCGACTTCTTCATGCCGTGTTTTAAAAGCTAACGTCTTTTGATAAGTTTTTGGCGGTGATACGCTTAATATCAACTGATAAGAATTGACCCGGACTGATAAAAAAAAACTACATTTTCACACGTTCTAATACAAATCTGTAATATCGCCATCAACATATACCCCTGAGCCAATACAAGGTTGCCAACGCTGAATTTAATTTTCCATACACTTGTTACACATAGTTAAAAAGCCGCGGTAGGGATAGTAGCCTTCAGTCCTTGAGCGAAACAGAAAAAAGTCACAGGGAGCCAAATCTAGCGAATACGTAGGCTGGGCAATGACTTACATTTCGTGTTTCGGCAAAAAGTCGGTCACAATCATATGTCATATCAATCATATCATATATTATATAATCAGAATGTGACGGCGCATTATCGTAGGGAAAAATCATAGAATTTTCTGCCCAAGTTCGTTTACGACGCATTGTTTCACATATACGCCTCAAAACGAAGTAGCGGTTAAAATCGCCAGACAAACTTTTTGTTCTTTTACATACAGAGATCACTCAAACATAAAGAAGGTTGTGCCAATCTAGGAGAAACATTTATCGATTCAGTCTGCGTGTTTGCAGTTTTAATAGACCAATCCGGGTAAGATTTGCTGTGCCGATCCAAAAAAATTGGCTGAGAGCCTCTTCTTCCTTTTATCTCTCTTTTGCTTGGTGTCTTCCGTTCCTCCGATAGTCGAACTGGATACATTAAGATTGTCACGAAGTTTGTTGTGACACCTAAAAGGAAACGTCGGAGACTCAGCGGAATGAGCTGAGTCGATTTAGTCATGCCCGTCTGTCTGTCCGTCTACATATTCGTGATTTAGTCTCCCAGCTTTTGAGATATCGGTAAGAATTTTGCACACATTCTTTTATCGCCAAGAAGCTGGTCATTTGTCGGAACCGCCCATATCGGGCAAATATAACAGATGCCAATTGAACTGCGATACCAACTGAACAATCAAACTAAAGTCCTTGTGTGGAAAAGTTTTTATTTGACAAGGTATCTTCAGGAACTTTGGCAGAGATTATTATCGAAGGCATCGCTACAATCTCTGAAAATATTGTTCCGATCGGAACACTATAGCATGTACCTGCCATTCAAGCTGACCGTTAAAAATCAGAATATCGATCTTTTATACTCTTTTAAATATAAAAATGGACATGTGAGAGACATTGTAGCTTCGGTGCAGTCGGAGTGAACGCTTTTTCAAATTTTTTATTTCAAAGTTTTTCTTCTTTTTCCTTTTTTGTGTACCTCAGCAAAAGATGTTCTTTATGCAACAACAGCTTTTTTAATCCATTTCTTGCTCAGCAAAAAAAATGTAATATTGAAAAACTTGCTTGTAATTTTTTTTAATGAAATATTTATGAACAACAATAAATGTGTGTGCCGGTACTAACTTCAGAGAAAAAAATTGTACTTCCATCAGCTTTATTACGGCGCGCACCAATGCGTAAAAAGATAGCTGGTTTTTTATTGAAACCGAACTATGACAGCAAACTTAAAAAGCTATTGGGAATATTCCCAATAAAAGAAAAAATCTGAAACTGACATACAAATTTTTTGTTAGAAATCCGGAAAATACCCGTTAATTGTCGGAACAGATGTAGTTACGTGTCGATATCAATTAGTTATAAGAAAAATGTTAACGGAAAGCATGCAGATAATGCTAGTTTGGCATTCACTAGTTAAAGCTTCAAGCAATTTTAAATGTAACGTGCTTTTTGCAGTGAATACAAATAAATACGAAACTGTTATTGCCTTAGCTTTGATGTTTTTATTTGTATTGCACATAATTTGAATAAAGAATCACTCAGTTTCACTAATTGAAAACACTAAATTCATCTTATTAGTGTTGTAAGAAGATATAGGACATACCCATTTGTCAATTCTTTACTACTGGATGACATAATGTTGATGCTAGAGGCACGAATCTCAATATATTGAATATATGAGCAAAAAGTTAACCGGTGAGGAGAAAATCATTAAATTGGGGATTGTGGTCAAAGACACATGCTCACCTTATTTCATTATTATATCGAACATTTTGAACGAGATATACAGCTAAAGCCAACAAGAAAGCCGATTATTATATTAGGTATAATAAGGTTATAGTCTGAACGGATTTCATTTAATTTGGCATTAAACTAAATTATATCTTGTTTTATTAAGATAAAAAATACTAAGGAAAATCACTACATGTACTATATGGCTGTTAGTGTAATAAATGGCCTGATTTCCCGGCACTAAATGTGGGCTAGTAGAAGTTCTGAACCCATTTTATCCAGTTTTGACATACTGTGATATGATGATGTGGTTGATATTTTGTGTTTAAAATCAGATGAGCTGAAGTTCTCATATTCGGTATCTAGGGACATGAAAATTCCTAGTTTATATTGTAGTTTCGATAATTTTTAAGATAGAGTTACCGCATCTTGAAGGCACTATTTACTAATTTTATTCGGTTATATTCATTATACTCTGAATAGGGTATACTAAGTTGGCCACGATGTTTGTAACACCCAAAAGGAAACATCGGCGAACTTATGAAGTATGCATATAAATGATCAACTTGACAAGCTGAGTCGATTTAGCCATGCCCGTGTGTCCGTCTGTCTGTCTGTATATTAGCGAACTAGTCCCTCAGTTTTTGAGTAATCGTTCTGAAATTTTGAAGCCGTTTCACCTCAAAAAACTGCTCATTTGTCGGAACCGCCGAAATCGGACTACTATATATAGCTGTTATATAAACTGAACAATCGGAATAAAGCTCTATTATGGAACACTTTTTTTATCAGACAAAATAAAGCATTAGTACAATATGTGAATAAATTTTCCAGATCGGACGACTATAGCATACAGATGGTATTGTTTTTAGATAATTTTGTATTCAATTTTCGTCTAAAGTAATTTTTTGATACAATTTAGCGTCTCGTTGAATTTAGTTTGATCGGACTATGTACATATATAGCATATTTGTGTTATTAAATCGCTTATTATTCAAACGTATTTTGCTTTCAGAAATATGTGATGGGTGAAGATCAAAAGACTTATTCATATGGACGCGAAATGCCGCTAATATTTATTGGCGGTGTGCCCAGATCGGGGACAACGCTGATGCGCGCCATGTTGGATGCACATCCGGATGTAAGGTGAGTGAACCTAAATCGTTTATATACACAATTACATTTGCGTACATGTATATATATATGTATGTAAATAATAGCGCAAATACTTAAGTCAAGTGGTTGCTGGGCGTCTATTTCCATAAACATATGTGCATACATATGTAAACATGTAAATACATATATATGTTGATAAGTGCAATTGCAAACAAGCGTACATATGTATATTTTTATTTACATTTTGTAATAACTGTGTTGACGTGCTGCTGTTGGCAGCCATCAGCGATCTCAGCGGATGCAAAACAAATGGTGGTGGGGCTAGAAACGCCTGAGAAATATACGAGTGCAAACATATGCATTGGTATTTGAGCAGAGTATACATAAACCCATTCACATAAGTGTGGCTATGGATGTGTATTTGTGTATATGTATGTGTGTCTGTGTATAATTGCACGAATTTGTAGGAAAACGTACTCGCGGGAGTCGGTGCTGTGCTTTTGCCTTTGAACAGTTTAATCGATTCAGTTCCACAGGTGCGCGATAAGCGTCCCTCGACCGGCAAAAATCACGCATGCGAATACATACATACAAACTAGTGCTTTCCTACAAACACTTATGAAGTTCTTTGGCAGATGCTAGCAATATCTGATGCTCAAACATATGTACCGACATATTGTTGCTGTGTTTTTTATTCAGAAATACGCACATATGCCCGCCAAAAGTTTCCAGGGATTGAAAAGTTGCGCTTTCTCAGCCAAATTAGTCTACATTTTTAAAGCCTCGAAAAATTGCGGTTTTTTTGAATTAAAAATATTTATATAGTATTGTTTTAAAATTTTAAGGGTATATTTTTTACTAAAAAGTCCTCCACTACTGCAGTGATTCCGGCCTTCTCCGTCGGTGAGATGTAAAAGAAAATTCTACTAGATTGCAAAATGACAAAATGGCGGCATTTAAAAAAAAAGTTGAATTGTACCCAAAATTTTGGTAAATTTTTGCTTTCTAAATTTCGATTTTTGAACAGGTTAAAAAAACTGGGAGTTTAATTATATAGAGAAATATGCAGGGAATATGATGAAAAGAAAATTTGATAGTGATCGGATCTTTGTACTCCTTTGAAAAATGTTGTTTTGGGAAAAACGCGTTTTAAAATAAACTTATAGAGCAAATTGGTTACACTTAAAAAGCTGTAACTCAAAAACTGAATTTAAAATTTAAGTATGGTATTTTTAAAGGTATAGACTATCGAAATATGCGAAAAATAAAAAAAATTAATGTTTCCAAAATTTTAAGCTAAAACGTTGCCTACAATTAGGCTGTAAACACATTACATAGTACGTATCGAAGACACACACCCAGTAAGTTGATAAGATAGTGCAAGAGATTTTGTATGCAAAATAATTAATTATCCGTTTGAAAGATCTGGATAAAAATAGTAAAAGTCTGCACTCTTTATATTTCAAGGACAAACTTGCTACTTCTAAATATCTCAAAACTGAAGTATTTTGTAATGAATTGCAACACCGACAAAGATTCATATCAGTACAAAATATCCAGTATTTTTGTAATTTGGCCGAAGACTTCATAAACGTTATTTCCCGAATGTATGTGTTTTTAGTTTTTTTAATAATTTTTTTAGGTAAATACGAGAGTTTAATAGAAAATATCCAAATATTCTGGTTTCTTTTGTAATGGAACGTTATACAGGGCCTCTTCTCGGACATAAAATTTATGCAATAAAGGTCTGGGTCGTCCGCAGTAGGAGAAAAGATAAATGTTTAGGTCAATATCTCAAAAACTGAGGAATTAGTTCGCTTAGATACAGACAGACGGACATAGTTACATGGACTCAGCTCGTCATGCTGCGGATCTCCGACGTTTCCTTTTGGTTACAAACAATCATGGCAATCTACATATGTATACAAATTTAATACGTGCAAAATTCCACCAAATTTCATAAGTTTGGAAGTGGTGCAAGTGTAGTTACCAAGGAACTGATTCACATTTGGCATTTTTTTGGTTTATGAGTTCCATGCAACGTTCAAATATATATTTATATACATATTATGTAAGTGTGAGTGTGCGTGTGCGCCTAGTTGTATGAACATACGTGTGAGCTTTTTGAGCTCGCCTGCCAACAGTTCAGCTGCCAATGCAAATTACTTTCACAACAGAATTTTTTATGCCTCAATTTCATGCTCGCACCCTCATATTTTCTTCTTACTCCAACATATTGTATGGAAGTTTTTTTGCCTGCTTGCATGTGTGTATGTGTTAATGTGTATGTATGTGTACTCCCCGGCTAAGCGTTATTCGTTCGGCAATCTATTCCTTGAATTTCGCCGCATCAGCAATTTGCGTGCGTTAATTCAGCGCCGCTCGTTCGCCTTCCATATTAAATATCAATTTGCACACATGTTACTGCGGTTAAAATATGCCAGCAGATATGATAATCAAATTCTACTTAGCGATTATCAACATTCCTATATTTATTCTTCTTGAAGTTGAGACATCGCATTTGTGCTGATTTAATTATTTTGGTGTTAAAGGCATGCCTATATATGTATTTATGTGTTTATACATATATGTGTATGTGTAAAACTGTGTAGCAAAATTTTGAATTCTTGAGAAAGATCTACGAGTGCTTAATAAACTTACAACCATTGCCTAGTCCTTTTTAGTTAAGTTTAGATTCGCCTGTAAGCCTTTTTATACTCTCGCAACCTGTTGCTACAGAGTATAATAGTTTTGTTCACCTAACGGTTGTTTGTATCACTTAAATCAATCGAGTTAGATATAGGGTTATATATATATAAATGATCAGGATGAAGAGACGAGTTGAAATCCGGGTGACTGTCTGCCCGTGCAAGCTCTAACTTGAGTAAAAATTGAGATATCTTTATGAAACTTGGTAGACATGTTTCTTGGTACCGTGAGACGGTTGGTATTGCAGATGGGCGTAATCGGACCACTGCCACGCCCACAAAACGCCATTAATCAAAAACAAATAACTTGCCATAACTAAGCTCCGCAATAAGATACAAGACTGTTATTTGGTACACAGGATCACATTAGGGAGGGGCATCTGCAGTTAAAATTTTTTTTTTAAGTGGGCGTGGTCCCGCCTCCAATAGGTTTAATGTGCATATCTCCTAAACCGCTAATGCTATAATAACAAAATTCACTAGAAGCAAATGTTTTTAGCACTTCTATTGACGGTGTGAAAATAGTTGAAATCGGGTGGCAACTCCGCCCACTCCCCACATAACGGTACTGTTAAAAACTACTAAAAGCGCGATAAATCAAGCACTAAACACGCCAGAGACATTAAATTTTATCTCTGAAATGGTATAAGATGACTTTATAGGAACCGCGTCCAAATTAGTCAGTGGGCGTTGCACAGCCTACTTTTAGGTGAAAACCCATATCTTGAGATCTGCTCAACCGATTTCAATCAAATTCGGTGCATAACGTTCTTTTCATGTTTCTATGTCATAGTGCGAAAATGGGCGAAATCGGACTACAACCACGCTTACTTCCCATGTAACACCATTTTCAATTCCATCTGATTCTTTCGCTTTCCACTATGCAAATCAGGTAACAATGATTATATCGGGGTAAAACTTTGCGTGAATAATGCAATTTAAGTATGCCACTTGCAACATGTTGCTATAGAGTATAATAATTTTGATCACCTAACGGTTGTTTGTATCACCTAAAACTAATCGAGACAGATATGGAGTTATATATAAATATATGATCAGGATGACGAGACGAGTTGAAATCCGGATGTCTGTCCGTCCGTCCGTCTGTCTGCGCTAGCTGTAACTTGAGTAAAAATTGAGTTATCGTGGTGAAACTTGGTACACACCCACAAATCGCTTTTAAACAAAATCTATAAAGTTCCATGACTAAGCACGAAATTAAGATATAAAACTGTAATTGATATATACATACATACAGGCTAACAATTTTGAAAAAATGGGCAGACCCCGTCCTCTAAGTGATTTAATATACATACCTCCTAAACCACTTAAGCTACAACAACAAAATTCGCTCAAGATAAATCCTTTAAGCACCTCTACCGACATTGTAAAAATGGGGTGATCACCCGGCCCACTTCCTACACAACGGTTCCGTTAAAACTACGCCAGAGACATACAATTTTACACCTGGGATGATACAAGAAGACTTTATAGGAGCCGGGGTCAAAATTGGTCGAAGGGCGTGGCACCGCCCACACTTCGCTGAAAACCCATATTTCTGGACCTACTCAACCGATATCGACCAAGTTTGGTATGTAATATTACCTTCACTTTCCTATGTTTCCGTGCGATCATCAATCGATGAACGAAATCGGACTACAACCACGCCTACTTTTTCTATATAACACAATTTTAAATTCCATCCGATTCTTTCAGTTTCCACTATGCATATCACGACTCAATAAATGTATATGGATAAAACTTTGCGCGAATAGTGCCTTTGGGATCGCGACCTTATTACCAAAAATTTTCGAAATCGGACTAAAACTATACAATCCCCATATACTGAATAGCTGGACCACCCCAGTTCGCACAGCGAACATTTGATCGAAAATGTCGGTAAATATGTAAGATATATATATTATATAAATTCCAAGATAATAATATTATGTCTTTATGTCAAAAAAGGGTTGTATCGGGTCAATAATTCTTTTAGCTCCCGTATACCTTATATAAAGATTTTCGAACTATCGGGTAACTTTTAATCGCATGTATCAGCAAATAAGTAAAATAACTTAGCAAACTTGACTGAACGTATAATATTGGGTATACTATAGTTTTATGCCGAAAATATGTGAAATCGATCCAAAAATTTCACAAACTACCATATACTATTGTACATATATTGATTTTCGTTGTTCTAACATACCTGAAGCGCCTGAAGGTATTTCCCTGGCAAGTTGCAAGAGTATGAAATGTTTGATTACACCCGAACTTAGCCCTTCCTTACTTGGTATAAATAGTTTTGTTACTTTGGTAACC